TCGTAGCTCCCTCATCGCCCGCTGACGTCACTGGTGATGGGAGGGGCTGCACAACTACATGTGCATGCGGTGGGTCCCTCTGCAACGACACCTCCACCAGAACGCACTGGCATGCCTTTGTGACAGGCTTCCTCGCTTGGTTGTCTGGACCTTCAGTAATCCGAGAGGGACTGTAGATGCCGAGTGCGCGGTCCTTGATGGTTGTCCAAGAACATTGCAGTTCCCATGTCGATACCGCACTGGGGGAAAGTCCTCGTCGGAAGCTAGCGCTGACGCCGAAGTCCTTCTCGTCTGTGATATATACATTTGTCGCCGATTGTACAATCTATTCTCATGCTCATCCGTAGGCCTCAGAACTTGCGCCCGTTTTATTTGCCGTGAACGTGCACAGGACTGTCTATCCCGGTGACTGCCTGTGTTCATACCAGGTTCATGTTCCCTTCAGGTCGTTACCGGGTGCGTACCTACTCGGCACTACAATAACATATGCTTACGAGCTGTGTCATATCGAATCACTCCCTTGAAGCCCGTTCCAAGTTTGTTCCTGGATTTTAATAGCAAACCTGCGAGTGAATATGAATACAGGCAAATGCATGCCGTATTGGCTATGGGGGAATACGAGAGACATTTGACTTGACCAATATTTGACCGATAAATGTTTGTTCAAGCCAGCAAAGTCTAGACGACGTAACAAAGACTTGAATCCCTGTAATCAGCCCATCTCTATACTCATCATAACATTGTACTAGTCGGTTACCAGTTTGAATAATACCAGACGACGATTAAAGATCTCCTGTTAGCACAGAACCCAACGTTGTGTCCACATTGCGAAGACCCACGAGACGGTACTACATAATTTATCCTACTTTGGCACATCGTCCATTCCCTCACTTCTGATTCCGAAATTCTCGAGGACGCAAGACAACCATAGTAGTTCTGATGTCCCCTTTTCGTCAAAGGTCCTACCAGAGAGAGGCTGTGAGCAGAGTGAGGGGGTTTCCATAGGGCTTGAATACAATCAGTTGTCAGGTACATGATAGAACATCACCTGAAAGCTGAATCTTGGCATCTAAGAGAGCCGCTCGCTGCCCTTGATTTGCCTCTGCAATCTCGCACTCCCAGAATAGCGCCCTAAGCCGCTTGTTTTGGTTGCAGAGCAGATGTCTCTTTAGTAACCTTATATACATAGATAGAGAATCAAGGTGTTCGATCTTGCCGGGACGCATGTCGAGATCCTCGAGAAGTTCCTCGTCAGGCACCTTCTGCTCGTGTTATCCGCTTCAGGGCTCTCCACTGTTCCTAAGGATCATCAGCAGTGGCGTAATGCCAGGTGGAAGACTTGGTTTGTGAGTTGAGAGCCACCGGATACAGATGGATCCTGTCAGGACCCTGCGGAGCCACCAAGGGCCTGCCAAGCTAGT